GTTTCTTGGCATTCTGGGAACGATTAAAGAATATTCTTTGTGTTCCTGCCTCCCTGAGAGCTCAGCTTAGAGCAGACAAACCAGGCAAAGCGGGGGGTGATGGAATTAGACCCCAAAATTCTGCTTCCAGCCCCACTGACTTCAGAGCAATTCCCATTCCTGAGCTCCAGCTCTGCCATCCCACACCCCAATTTGGGATCAGCTGCCTGGCCTTCAGCAGCAGGGACAGGAATAACTGCCCTGAAGTCAGTGGGATTTTGCTGAGCCAAACCTCTTGGAATAAGGACGTGGAGCTATGAATAGTTATTCGAAGGGAAAACATATGAGAGCAAAACATAATCTGCTCTCAAGAGGATAATGCAAGATCTACAAACGGCACCAGGACAAACAGTTTGCCCTCTAAAGCAAAGAACTATTTAAAGGACAAAGATGCCAACAGAAACTGTGGGTAGAGTTTTCCTCCAACACAAAAGTCTGGGACATTTAGACTATTATTCCTATTAAAAATGTCTTTTTATTTTTTTTGGTCTCCACAATTACCATTCAGTTCAATGCTGTCGAACTAGGAAAGCCAAACTCACGATTTAAAATCAACTCATTAGCTGAAAATGAAAATGGTTGAGGCACTCAGAGATCCTCTCTCATAGAATTTTCAAATTCAACACCGCCCTGCAGCCCATGCCCCAGTTATTTCCATAGCAGGAAAAATATTAGCCTGACAAACATCTTCACTTAATCAGAAGCTGTAAATCACGAGAAAATTATCTTCCATCTTCCCACGAGGGCGTGGTCAGTGAGGTGCTGGTTTGGCCCTTAAACCCCAATTTTAATTAATTAATTAATTGAAACGAACCAAGCAGCGCCACAGATGAGGAAAGACAAAGCACCAAGACTGACTCCTCCATCACCTCATCTGGCAGAGCTTCAAGGAATATTCCAGAATCTGGATGTCTAATTAAAAGATTAATTGTATCAAGGCAAGGGGGGGGGCATCATTCTAATTATCTTGTCTAGCATCTTGAATCAGGACCACAGCACTTGCCTGTCTCGTCCTCTGAGGGGAGAAGTCATTTTGAAAAATATGAAAATATTCACAGACAGGGTCTTTTCACGGCCCTTGGAAGTTAATTATCTTTGCTGGGAGAGGATAAATTCACATTCCACAGAAAACTGTTCAGGTTATTTCCAATCTGAATGCTCTGTTATCTGCGACTTTCAGTCAGTGAATCAAGTCAAATGTCTGCTCACCTACATTCCCCTTTCTCATGTAAATACATGCAAATGGCTCAGATTGCCCCATTATCTTCCCATTGACGAACTCAACAGCTGGAACTCCCTGAATGGCACATTAGTACCTGTCACATTTTCCTGCACCTTTTTTCATCTTTTCTGCCATTCTCCTTGGAACACTCTTATTTTCCAGCTTTGTTCTTTAGTGGGGGGAAATCATCACAGCAAGGCAACACACCACGGGAGAGGGAGGACAACTCATTAACACCAAAATGACTTCCTTACTCTTATTAACCTTGTGCCTGGCTCACCACTGCCTTGGGATCTCCTGGACAGCTCATGGAGCCCCTAAACCTTCCTTTGGGACCTGTGCAATGTTGGATGTACAGACTTGGGGTTGATTACACTGAATTCCACGTGGTCGCCCAACAAGTGAATCAAATCCCTCTGGATGGTTAATTGAACGTCATTATTTATCACTTCTCCAATCCCTGATGACATTTTAAGTCACATCCTCTCCAGGACCAGGATGTTCACCAACTTCAACCCAGAAGGGAAGTCAAGGCAGATTGGGAAGTTTTCAGCTCAAAAATTACAGCTTTCTGTGAGTGGGGACCCAACCACGATCCTCGCCTTGGACAACTCTTATGAGACTCGTGGAAAACAACAGGTGGAGAGGGAATAATTCTGTGGGAAAAATCCAGGTGGAATAATCAGCAGCAGGGAAAAAAACCCCACAGAGTTCATCCATCTTCAGTGGGGGGGGGTGATAATTTATGATCCTTCTGAACGGGCACAACAAGCTGAAAGACAGGAAATTCCCCTGAAACCTGAATAAAAGCTCTTTTTTTTTTCATGGCCAAGCGCTGAGGCTGTGGTGTCACCATCCTTGGGGACATCAGAGCCCAGCTGGACTGTCGTGGATGAACCTGCTCCAGTTGTCCCTTCTCCAGCAAACACTGGACTGGGTGGTCTCCAGAGGCACCTCCAACCTCAGCCCCTCTGTACAAATATTTCCAGGGAACCCAAGGGGATGGCTGCTCCACCCAGAATATTTATCCCAGTTGTTTAGACAACTGCACAGATTCACTCCAAAATATTTGGTGAGTATATTCAGAATAATGAGTTTATTCCCCTCGTGAAAGGAAAAGCACTTACAACTGCATTTGCACTGACACAAACTCTGAATTTTCCTCGTGCTGGGAAGGCAATTATTACCCATGTCCTTTTTAGGAGAAGAATTGAGATTAGTGGGAAAATCAAAATGAGAATTAGCCACAGACAAAGCACTTCTAGAACCTGTTAGTTTAAACAACCTGAAGCTGAGTGTAAAGGTGATGGATTTCCTAAATCCTGGAAGAGGCACAAGCACAGACACAAAAG